GTCACTGAACACGCCCCTTACAATCCAGGGAGAGGTACTGGAAGTTGTGGAGCGTTTTACGTACCTTGGAAGTTGTATTAGTTCTGATTGTAGTGTGACAGATGAGGTGAATGCACGAATCTGCAAGGCTTGGGCCGCGTTTGCTAACTTCAGACACCTATGGCGTCAGAATGGTTTATCCCTGAATCTGAAGGAACGTGTTTATCATGCTACATTACGGACCGTTTTGTTGTATGGCGGTGAGACTTGGCCTATTCGAGAAGCGGAACTGGGACGTCTTCACGTGTTCGACAATCGTTGTCTCAAAACCATAGCCCGTGTGGGTTGGTCTCGGCGAATCCGTAACGAGGCAGTTAGAAAGCGCGTATTCGGTTGTGCAATCGCTACTTCCATTGAGGAATGTGTCCAGCACCACAAGCTGCGTTGGTTGGAACATGTATTGCCTATGCCGAACCATCGTTTGCCGAAGAGAGCGCTTGCAATCAAATTGCCCAGCTCAGCGAACAAGCCAACGACCACCATCTACGATACCTGAGCTACCAACATTTTCCTCTATAGGGAGCGCTGTTTTTTATGCCCAACTCAGAGTGGCGTAAACAGAGAGGTGGCCAACCCTTGACTTGGCAGAGGAGTATGAAGGAGATCACGAAACGCTCGGGTCCTGTCGGTGCTACTCGCCTTCCAGGATGGGGGCCGCGTGATTTCTACTGTGCTTGATTGGAGACACTACACCCGATATGGCTGCCAACTGATGTCAGTGGCGTTTTTGTTGTCAGTTTCTGTCCACATTGCCTGAGTGAATGTCTGGAGGTGTAGGCACCTCGTAAGCTAGCACTTAGTCCCTTACCCGTCCATCTTTACTCTTTTCTGTACAATAAGGCTTTCAAATAAGTCATGGTTGTACGGCAGTGAAGCATCGGTTTTGGGTTCGATCCACTGACCCTCCAGTCAGTAAGTTCGCGCCCTAAACACTCAGCTACCTCGAGCTATCTCTACCACACCGAAAACATCCAAACTTTTCGTGATCTTTTCTTACCCTTCTGCCAAGTCTTACGTTATCTTCCTTGCTGTTTGGAGTACCTGTCTGATGCATGGACATGATTCTTTAATCACAATATGATGAAATGCCCCTACTTTTAAGTGTGGCCGTTTTTTGATAATCACTAACTCTCTACAATGGTTTTGCTCCAAGAGATTCCGCTGTAAGATCTTCAAAAGATCAGTTTCTTGTGGGCGATATTGTCCAGAAACAAACTCTCAAAACGCGGAAGAACTATGTTCTGAGGTAACCCTGCACAATACAGACGTACAACCACAGATGCACCACCACTAACCCACCGCCACGCACCACTACGCTCCCCAATAACGCACTGATGATGTCACCTCGATTAATGATGAAACGTTTGCAATCAAATTGCCCAGCTCAGCGAACAATCCAACGACCATACAGGCGTGCTTTAAGCTTCATACGACTCACACTTGTAGGCATTCATTAGATTTGTAAACATCGGCACATTGATAGGTACCCAATGCTAGATACAGATCAATGTGCCACTTTGTTTCCAACAGCTGGAGTGTTCGTCAGGCTATAACGGTCAATGAACCAGCTTAAGAATGACTAATGGGTTTGTCAGTGCCCTGTTGAAACCTATTCACTAGGCTGGCGGGATGGCGCAGTGTTTGGAGCGCGAATTTACTGATCGGATGGGCCGTG